CAGTAACTTCAAAATAATGCATTATTTCTTCATATTCTACATCTCCACAAGTAAAAAATGGATAATTCGTTTGTATCTACAAATAGTAATGAAATTAATATCTTTATCTAGTAAAGATACAATTATGTAGTATATATGTATAGTATATATAAACCACCTTTGAAAATCATAATGACCAGGCACGTTACCATGCAAAATTATTTTCTTACAACGATGTGAAACGCCATCAAACAGTACATCAAATCCAAGATGAAAATAGTTATAAAAATAGTCTATTGGATGCCCCAAATCTAGTATATAATAAATGTTTATGTTAGATGTTTACGTTAGATATCATGTTGATAATTTTCTATTATTATAAGATAGTAGTATACCTCCTTCCTGAATATGGTTTTCTACACCATTAGACAATGTGTTGTTAGAAACAGTTTCACCATCCTCAGTACTATCGACACCAATATCTTCTGAATGTATTCGCATTTTATCTTCCTCCTTGTAGAATATCCGGAGAGAAGAACCTATATCGACAATAAGGTCTTGTGGTGTGGTCACATTCAAAAGTATCTCAACGGAAATTGGACTGGAATTATTTCTAGCCAAAAAATTCACGGTAATACCACGTTTTAGCTTATCAAATAAATGAATAATTAGCCACAATTATTTATATAATAAAATAACCAACGACATTTAATATTCTATACCTCTGCAACAACGCTTTCAACTTCACCAAGATCCCCATTACATCCCATATTTTCAGGATTAGCATTCCTTAGCAACGGTGGAACAGTAACGTTGCGAAAATTGGCACCATGGTATGTGTGTAGGCGAGAAAGTAAAGGCGATGTGCCATCAGGTAGTTCCAAAGGAAGATCTATAAAAAGTTGATAGAATATCTTAAAACTTCTGCGTGAAGTTTTTATTTTTTTTTTTATAAATTGAATAAGATTCCTACCAGTAGATGAGATAAATAAAGATATATGTTCTTCAGGTATAGGGAAGACAAATGATACACCCTAACGATAATCAAAATAAAAATCTTTTTCTAGTTCATCTCATGAAATTCTTATTACATTTTTTAATTAATCTATGTATTGTAACTAACCGGATAATTTAATGTATATTCATTTTTTGTCTTATCTAATTCTCCAGGGTAGGTAGGACTAAAATATATATTTTATTAATAACATTGATCATAAATAGAACTGGGTAAAAACGAAGGATTTAATATTCACCCAAAAATTTTATAAATTGAGAGAAAAGTTGGTGCAGCTTTACTAGAACTAGATAAAGTAAATAGATCATATAAATAAGTAAAGAATATTATAATAATTATTTTATAAACAAAATGTGTGAGGTATACCTAACTTCACTATCCTGATAAGTTAATCGCAATTTTGAGAAATCGTTTACTTCGATCGATTTTAATCTCTGGGTTGGACCATCAAATCGCATATTAATTCCATTTGCCGGCAACGAGAGAAATAAATCTGTCAAGATAGGAGACTTGTATGATCGTGTTTAAAATAATTTACGTAAATACACAAGCTTTTCCTTAAAAAAGAAACCAGAAAATCATATCCAATCAATGTAAAATTAACACCTCATCAGTGTATTTCAAATCTACAGAAGGAATGATTCTAGACTGTTCTCTCAAAAAATTTATAATATCCCACACCGAAGTTCCTGAAGAAAAGATTGAAAATAAGAGTAATTTTCGTGACTTTATCGTACGGAGTAAAGGATGGCCAAGTTATTAAGATTTGAATTGATCGTCATAACATACCCAAACGAAACCAACCGAGGTTTTTCCCTGGGACTATTGATAAGTCAAGTCTCTGTTCACGACGACTTGAGTTATCATGTTGTAAATTGATCATACTAGAAAATCAATTGATCTAACTTGATATATAAAAACTACTTATAGATTCAATCATAGGCAAAAACTAGTAATAATTTATTTAAAACTTGAAAATTTTCAGACAGTTTAAACCGTTTTCAAGCCTAAAAATTAATGGGTTTCTAATTAAACGGTTGTCTTGAGAGAACGAAAGACACGTAAGTTTGTGTGGCCAAGTATGTTGATATAACATCACGTTATTTCCAATCGCAGATCCGCGCCTGTATTACCTGACATTTTTTGTGCATACGTAGTACTGTTTACAGTAAAAAATATAACGATAATGCTCGAAGCATGAATGGTATACAATAATTAAAAAGCTTGAGTGTACACATTACAAGAAGAGTTATAAAGTTCCTCACATCATCGTACTCTTGATGAAATAAAATTTCAGACTAACACTAATTGGATTATTTACAATAAGAAAACTTAGGTGCAAAATAGCATTAATTTTGTATATAATATTCTTGAAAGGTTTGACTGTAATTGTAACATTTTAAATAAAAAAAAAAGGGGTTTATTTAATATGTGCACCTGCACAGCTGTGCACCCCATTATGTTTTTTTAAAATTTTACTAGAGTAGCTCTCAAAATTTTACTAAGATAACTCCTGTTTTATTCTTAACAAAAAATGCTTCTTTCACGAAGTTACTTTAGATTTTAATTTTAAATTAATCCTAACCCTAACCCTAACCTCTAACCTTCTAATCCTAACCCTGACTTTAATCCTAACCCTAATCCTAATTATTGTTTGTATTTGTTACTATAGGGTGCACAA